CACTTTTTCTCGTTGAACGGCAGAAGCCAGGCCTTTGACCACTGTTGGAGTCGATTTAGGTTCGCCTGCAGATGCTCTTCGTCATCTGCAGTTCGAATGACGCTCCAGAGCTTAATGTCATCCGCAAACATGGCGACACCACAATCCAGTTCACTCACGCAATCGTTGACGTAAATGATGAACAAAGTAGGGTCAAGAACTGAGCCTTGGGGAACACCGCTTTCAACGGCAACCTCCGTCGACTTCTGGCCACCGACATGGACAGTTTGACAACGGTCTAACAGGAAGCTTTGAATCAATTTTAAGAGGTTACCCCTAACGCCTGTTCGGCTCAGTTTGTGCAGGAGTCGCTGATGTGGGACACTATCAAATGCCTTTTTAAAGTCGATATAGACTACATGCAGCGCATTGCCTTCATCAACTGACCGAGTCCAGCGTTCCAAACAGTTGAGCAGGTTAGTCACGCAAGACCTGCCACTACGAAACCCATGCTGCGCATCAGATAATAAATTATGCTGCTCTAGGAAGCGCATCAGCTCTCGCTTGATTATTTTCGCCATGAGTTTGCAGCAGATGGAAGTGAGGCTAATTGGCCTGTAATTGTTTGCAGAGGCCTTGCTGCCTCCTTTATGCAGTGGTGTGATCCGCGCAGATTTCCAGTCGGCGGGCAAGCCGCCGGCTTCGAACGAGGCTTGGAAAAGCATGGACAATGGTTTGGCTAGTTCGGCAGCGAGCTCCTTCAGTAACTTAGGCGGTATGTCGTCTGGACCTGGTGATTTCGACTCATTTAGCGTCATTAGCTCTTTGCGAACCGTCGCTTCGTCAAAAGACACAGACTCGATTTTTGGACCCTCATCGAAGTCGTAGTCGGGGGGAGTAAATGGACTTTCACTAGTAAAGATGGATTTGAAAAATTGTGAAAAGTGCTCAGCTTTTTCTCCATCCTCACTAATCTCTACGTCTCCGCTAGTCTTCAGGAGGGGGATTGGATCTCTGTTTCGTGTGCTGCTTCTTATGTAGCTGTAGAATAATTTTGGATTTTCCATAGCACGATTCAATAGGTCTTTTTCAAAATTTTGCCGTGTCCTGAGGGTCAGCCGCTTGACTAAGTTCCTCTGTATTTTGTATGCGTTTATGGATACAGGAGTCCCATCAGTAAGAGATTTCTGCCAAAATCTCCGTTTTTTATTTATTTCCTTTTTTAACGCCTGGGTCAGCCACCGGGGTCGTTTGTTTAGCCCCTTCCGTGAAAGCGGGCAGTGGTTTGTCAGGAAAGCATGCAATAATTCACTGAACCATTTCCAATCCTCCTCTATATTTCCAGAAAACGCTGATTCCCAGTCCGTATTGTTGATTTCGGCCTTCATTTGATCGAAGTCCCCACGCCAAATATTTCTTCTAATTTTGGTGGGCTGTTCAGGCACGGAAAAGATTGAATAGTCCCATTGAAGTACAACGTGATCGCTTCGACCTAAGGGAGGCAGACATTGTACCTCATCTATGCTGTCCATCGATTTCGTGAGCACCAGGTCCAAGCAGTTTGACTGCTGCCCATCACGGACCCTCGTGGGAAATAGGACGTGCTGTGTGAGAAATGACCTGAGTGCCATGTCCAAGAAGCGTCGGTCGAAAGCTAGTTCTGGGCCGCGCGCGTATAGTGAACTCCAATCAATGAGCGGTGCATTGAAGTCGCCCATGATTAGGACGTCAGGCCGGAGAGCAAATCGTCCTAGCTCCTCTAACAGACGAGCGTCAGCCTCGGGGTCACTCCTCGGGGGTCGATAGACGGTCAGAACTTCAAGGCTATGTGATCCTGGTACCCTTATATTGAGCCAGATAGTCTCGGCGCTGCAGGCAAACTGTTCTGTTTTTTCTGACACAAGCAGGCCGTGTTTTACGTACGTGACGACTCCTCCTCCCTGACGCTCTCTCCTGTCTCTTCGAAACAGCTGAAATCCTGGTAGCATTAATTCGCGGTCATCCACGTTTTCAGACAGCCAGGTTTCTGTCAAAGAGACAATGTCAGGGGAAAGGTCACAGATGTGGATCTCCAGTTCGTCTAACTTGGGCAATATACTCTGCACGTTGGTGTAAAAAATGTTAGTTTCAGAGTTTTGGGGCGTTTGATTATGGTGCCGCTTGTGATCCCATTTAAGGAAGCTACTGTGCCCTCATCCGGATCGGTTCGGTCCAACGGATTAGGGGAGGGCGCTGCACTATCTGGTTGTTGTAGATCACAAGATCCGTCTCGCCATTCTGCAACCTTGTTCTCAGTTCCAGAACCAATTGTCGACGTTTTATTCTCTCTGCCGGTGTGTAGTCCGGCTGCAAAAAAACGCCGCGGTTGGTGTCTTTGATTCGGAAACGTCGTGAGAGAATAAGTCCTACTTGTTCTTGGTTGGCTAACACAATCTTGAGTGGTCGGGGACGTGAGTGCTCTGATATATCGATTGAGCGCTTTCCAAGCCTAAAGGCCTTGAGAACCGAAACTTCCTCATTGGGGCGCAGAAGCTCGTTGAGTAGGCATTGGAAGAGTTTCAGGTCTGCCGAGACCCGCTCTTTGGAGGCACCAGCTGTGGATTCGGGAAGTCCCTGAATAATCAGACATTGTCCTCTGACCGGCGACACTCTCGAGAACACAGTGGTTTCGTGCTCCGACATAGGCAATATGTGGTTGCCATGATCTGACGAGGATATAAGCTGCAGTCGATTAATATCCTCATTCGTCTCTGTTTTGTTGGCATTTTCATCAAAGTCGGAAGTTTTTTGCGATAGGTTGAGGGTTTTAGGACCCATGTCATTTCCCGTGATGGGCGACACGGACGCCGACGTCCCTGGTTCCGGTTCTTCGGAGGCATTCCTCGGAATCTGCTGTTCATGTCCTTCGACCTTTTTGCTGCACGATTTCTTTTTTTCCTCTGATTTTTTATCGTTGCTTCGCTGGTTGTTGTCGTCTTGTATTTTATGTGTTTGTGCTGGGTGTGCCGTGACAGCTGCAGAAGGTGTTGATGTGTTGGTGTCCGAGTGGATGCTTTCATTCGTCGGATGTTGAGAAGCCAGCGTCGGTCCTGAAGGCGCTATTGACCCCAGGGTGCTCACTACGGTAGACCTGCAGTAGCATGATAGAAGACGAGACTGAAGAGGGTGAGAGTGAGTACGCAACTTGGCTTCACTCCATTAGTCACTGCGAATGCTCCCGAAACTGTTCCATTGTGACACTCGCCATCATCCAGTAGTGGGTCTGACGCACCATGTGCGTGAATCGTTCATTGAAACCAAATTTTTTCATGTTTTGTTAGAATCTACGAAGAAAATGTACAGCTGCACACCTCCTAGTAGGTGTGCTAACTCATTAAATGTTAACCGAATTTCTGAAATGCGTTTACGACTCGAAAATGGTACTTAAGCATGGTCGTAATATCAATCACTGTTCAGCATAACCCCCTTAATAATTCAGGTACATCGGGATGCCGCCTTTGAAGAACTTCTTTTTGGCCACCGGCAAAAACTAAACTGCGAAAGGCGACCACTTCAGTAGTATGAATTTTTCCCATTGGTTTTGGATGCCCTTTGAAATTTATATATATTTTATGAAAAACACGCATAAAAATATACATTCATTTGCTCATTTGGTAGAAAATTACGTCTTCACATTTTCTTAATAATTTTCCCCAACCCCCAAATAATTTTGAGTCCGACCCGCAGTTACACTTGCATTCAGGGTCTCCAAACTACAAGCTGTATATTTTCCGTGTACGGAAGATCATACATTTCTATAACTATTACGAGAAGACCAGCTGGGGTTCGTAAAATTTAGCAGTGGATTTCAGCCATATTGTAAACTTTACAAGCAACATTGGTAAATGCAGAGACAAGACGTCCTATGAAAGAGCATTGCACGGTCCTAAAATATTTTATAATTGGAAACCTTTTAAAACTGAATTATACCCTTCCATCAAGCATAAAATTTAAAGAAGGCGTAATTTTCTACCAAATGAGCAGAAGAATGAATATTTATACACGTGTTTTCTTGGAAACATATTTGAATGTATAAGGGCACTGAGAATCAACGAGAAGAAAAATTCATACTACTTAAGCAGTCACTTTTTTCAAGACATAGTATCCGCGCGCAACTGAAAAGAATTTCACTCGAAGGCTGGCATCCCGGGGCAACCGAAATATTTTGGGATTATGCTGCACGATAGTTACTGTCACAACCCTACTTAGCTAATCTTTTCGGGACCAAAACGCATTTCAGAATTTCGGTAAACATTACAGGAGTTAACACATCTACTATAGAGGTTTGTTTGCATCTCCTGACACTTTTCTTGCAGTTGCCGGGCCGCCAATATTGTGTCGGTTGTTCCACGGTGTCGCCAGAGATCACATTGACTCTCTGGGAGAGAGGTGTTCCAGATAACCGTTGGGACGATTGAGAAGGATGCGGGTGAAGACCTTCCCAGCAACTTGAGCGGCGATGTTTCCGAGATATCACCATACTTGAAATCCTAGGGACTTGTTATTGCTGCCACATGTCTTGTAACAGCAATGTGAGTTTATTCAGCCGGGGATCGCCGTACTTGTAGAAGTCGGCCGAGATTACGTAAGATCTCCGCGTTTTTCCACCTGAGAGCCGTTGCACGGCTCTGATTGTTTCTATGAGTAAAGGGAAGAGGTCCAGGTCGTTGTTAGTCTCCACTGGAAAGGACCGGTCGATGGCAGCCTCGGAGATTGTTGGTGGGAGCTCGAGGCCGCTTCTGGAGTGTCTACCCCGGCGCTGAAATACATAAGATTTCACCGTAAGGAGTGTTCCGTTGGGGCTGAGTAGCAGCGCGGTTCCTTTTGGCGCCGCGGCCGTAAGCCGTCCTGATTAATACGAATATCCTCGTTTCATTGCAATTCGCGTGCCCTTGGCTCTCCTCAGCCTCGCGATCCGTCAGGGCGTCCTACATCTCTCGCAGCCATTACTGTACAAGGCCTGAGAAGGTCGCCCTGCTTGCATCAGTCCCAGCGGTCCGGATAGGTTTTGCGCAGCGTTATTTTTGGCGAGTAGGTTGCTGATGTCTGTGTCGTTGTCGTTAAACCAATCCTAGTGCTGACGACGTGTATGTCCGAGGACGTCCAGGAGTGTTGACTGGCTGGCGTTCCGCGGATAGCATCGCTGTGCCCCAGGGTTGTGTCATCTGGAGCCTGAATCTCTTCTAGACGCTGGGCACCTAACATTGCTGTTGGGGGTTTAGGTATTTATAAGAATGTTGCCGTCGGTTCTTAGGCTTAGAATTACCCTTTTTATCAGAATTATGCGTGACATCATGGTCGTGTCTACTAGAAGTAATTTTAAATCGTTGGTATTGCACATTTCCTTGGAGTACCATTTATAACCGAATCCCGTGTGTCAGAGAAGAAAAAGCACACGTCTTATCGTGTCTACGTCGTCAGTGGTGAACCAGTTAATTGAACTGGTAATGCCGGAACCTAGACTCTAAGTATCTACAGTTAGTTATTTAATGTGTGTAATTTACTACAGCGTGTAGAACAGGAAAATATCAAAGTGCGAATGCAACTCGAAGTCTTCTGTCTGATTTGCATGATCCCTGCTTAGAGGCAAAGTGCTATTAGCCCTACTGAAGGTGCTGTTGCGCACGATGCACCCCATCCATCATCAGGTACTCAACGGGGCTGTTGCTAATGCTCCGAGTTTGCGGGATCAAGCCCCTGAAAAATGGGACTTGCATGTGTGTACGCCTTGGATGTGATCATCTCAAGGAACTGCACGGTTGCCGTGCAACAAGTATTCCCGAAATTCGCGTTCAAGTGCATACTGATGACATGAAGATTTTAAGAGGTCGGATCAATTTCCGTGAGCAATTCTTGCTCGTGTTTGCCACTTGGTTGTCAAACAAATCTCAATTTTCTAATGTTCGCTAGTTCTCTAGGGCTGAATCCTTAGGAGTTTCGCTGGGCGACTCCTTTGACGAATGGATAGGCTTCCTAACGAATGACCCGAGGGTTCCGCAGATGAAGGACGAAGTGAAAAGCGACTTAGCCATTCTAGTTTGCGACGTACCTGATTTCTCATATGTTCGACAAGTGGTAGACCACAATAGCTACTGTTAATGCAACAGGTATGTCGTTTCGTATAAGTAACTACAACCACCGTATGTTTTATCATAGACCAACCCCACTTCAGAACGTATGCACTTTTAGGGCACACCGGCGCGACGACGGATCATTGCGATTACAGAGTGAGGCACTACCAAAAAGAGGTAAATGACCCTCCCATCAGTGTGGTTAACTGTTTTTAAGTTGTAAATGGCGGTATGCAGATCGCCTACTTGGGTGTCACGCGGAAGATGCTGTATATATAGCGACTCGAGCACGACCAGTTTGCCACATTTCTGAACGAACCTATTAGAACATACAGTCAATGTTCATCGGTCGAATTTTCACAGAAGCCTCAGGATGTTGAGATCCTAGAGTTTGAATAGCTGCCGAATACAGGTAATTATTGACTTATATTGCACCCGTAGTTGTATCATCTCCTCCTGACGATTCCGGATAAGTGTCCGTTACAATGTATGTACTCCGAAACCCCATTTTTAATCTAGCGGCTGTTGTGGAAAGGGAGCTGCGGAGTCTTAAAGAAGCCAAGTCATTAGATATGGACAGCATATCCGCCAAATTCCAAGAGTAACTGGCAAGAGAGAAGAGAAGGAGGTTGACGGAATATCTTCAGTCAATGTACCTATTATCGGGGGGTGGCACTGAGATGGCAGCCGTCGTCAGTTCCATCATTGACCTTAGCTGTCGTCCTAGACAGGCAGTTATGTTTGCGTACTCACGGCTGTTCAATTTCTCGTCTGCCAGAGTAGTGAGCGGTACGGCTGAAGTGGCATGACCACCACTGACTCGCTGATGTCTGGATTCATGTTTTGTCTAGCTTCCCGTTTGCACTTTTGTCCATTGAGCAAAGTCCGGAGGGCGTGGTTGGTCGCAGTAAGCGCCAAACGGCAGTTGATGGTGGATGTTATCGCGTGCCAGGCCTCGATGGTTTCCGTGACTGCTCAGCTGTTCTCTCGGCCCAGGATTTCGGCATTATCAAATACACTGAATTT